CTCGTTGATACAGTCAAGGATTGAAGACTCACAGGGGTTCCAACGGGTTTAGAGTTTAGGGTTTCGGTTTAGGGTCTAGGGTTTAGGGTTTTAGGGTTTAGGGGTTTAGGGGTTTAGGGTTTAGGGTTTTAGGGTATTCTGAAAACTGACACCAAGCTGACATCATGCAGCCCATGAACTCCACTGGGGTCAATTATATCCTGTGCAGGGTTGGGGGTTTTGGATGAAAGGGGGGGATGCTCGACGGCTCTTGGCTGTGTTAGTTGAAGTCGACTGCGTAAGTTGCGGTTCAGGGATTTTGTTAAAAGTGTCACATGCGGCAGCTCCTGTTTCGCATGCTGCAAGTTCGAGGTGATTCAGTGATATGGGACCGAGCATGTCGGTCCCCGCCCTCTAAAAACAATGCATCGTTAAACGAACCATAGGCGGCTGCCTGGACATTGCGTATGCAGTTCTACCAAATCTAGCTTTATAGATTACTGCTCAAGCTTACGACTTACGACTTTCATCGATGCTGTGGTCGAGGTCTTTAGGCTGAGAGCTTTGTCTTTTCGGGTTTAGGGTTTAGGGTTTTCCGAGGTTGAAGCTTAGTCTCAGGGCTTGGGTTGAGGGCTTGTGACGTCTTGGCAGAAGCTTCAGGTGCTGGGGTAGTGCGAGCTAGCGGCTGTGGGGCTTGGGCTATAGGACTAAATTTCAATCTGTAATCTTAGTTATTGCCGCAGGTGTCGCGATTAAACCTGACATAGTCTGCTCCGAGGCATATATGCACGGAGGTGCGGGAGAAGGTCGAGTCTGCGGACTCCTCCGAAGAAGATGCCGAACGCCTGCAGGCACTCGATGCGGGGGCTGAGGGCTCTTTTACAGAAACCAGGAGGAGCAACTACAGCACCGTTTGAAGATTCAATGCGGGCTTGAATCAGAGCCGAAAGTGACATGGCTTCTTGATTTGTTGCTTTATCGTACGTCTCCATTGCAATCGCATGGTATACCATCCAATAATCTTTTCGACCTCGTGCAGGCTTGAATAGATTCCGCAATGCAGGGTGCCTAATTTGCGACTCTATGACTTAAACCCACTGTCCTGAAGTATCTACACCAAGTCGCGGTCGAAGCTTGTACTGGCAGCATTCTTGATCGAGATCTTCAGAGAGGTCTGGTTGAGAAGTTTGTGACATGTGTGTACTGCTTGCCCACGGCAAGCATGATCAATGATGATACGGTCTCGTATACATCTTGCGCGTCGGCATCATCGTGATTGCTTCTAGCAGCAGCATCATCGGCGACACCTGCATCACCATCGCGGTGGTCAGAATCGTAGTCATCTCATCATGGTGAGCCGACGCCGGTTCAATGCCTCGTAGGCACATCATCTGGGATGTACGCCTCTACCATGCTATCACGTATTCCCCGAAGCCCCCGGCTCTGCCCAGTCACCGTTCTTTTGGTGCTTTTTCCTTGATGCGCAATTTTCTCTAAGAGTCCATGTACCTGTACCTATGTGAAACTAGTCTTTACATTTACCTCAAAGGGTCTACTATACTTTACGGATTCCTGTGTATTGATATATGATATATATATATATATA